TGACCTCAGTTTTTTCATGCTGTTTCTGTGCATATGTTTATCTTGGTCCTTTTCTGTCACTCAGGAGAGCGAACAAAGTGTCTCAAAGTCTCACTCTGGGCAGTGAAAGAGTTAATATCTTGCCCAAGCCTGCAGATGATCATCTGATCTCTTCCGGGTGGTGGCCAGGAGCTATTTATGATAAAGAGTCTCTCTAGACTTCAAAGGGGCTAGGCTAGGATGGTAAGGGCCCAGCCAGAAAGCGGTGGTAGTTTTTCTGACTGTATGGATGTTTTCCGGCGTTTGCTACATTCAGTTCCAGCTGCGGGCCAATGGTTTTCCCCACTCCTGCCTAGCAGGAAAAGTGGGGGGAGGGGCCTTGCTAGAACGGGGCCCAGCTGTCGCTCTCACAGGCCACGCAGGCACCGCGAGCACCAGAGCCACTCCAGGCCGGTGGAAGAGCTTGGTTCTGCCCAGCCGTGGGCTCCCTGGCCACGCGGGGGGGAGGGGACTAGGATTTTAGCAGATGCACGGGCCTCCCCTCTCCCTTTCTATCGGGGAGCCCCAGCCGAAAACGGGGCCCCGCATCAGAGCCTGACTCCAGTCCCTGCCTGGCCTGGACCGCGTGGATGGGCCCGGGCCAGTGTTACCTGTACTGCGGCCAGAAGGGAGATAGGGTTTTCCCAGGAATTTTTTCATCTTTACATGTGTGTTTTACAAAGATGCGTAAACTTTCTTATTGGTATAACAATGTGTCAGTATTAAAAATTAGACACTGATTGGTCCTTGTCAGGTCCAAAGGAGGCTGCCCAGATACTGGCAGAGACCTATTTCAGGAAATTTATACAAACCACCACAGATATTTAAAAAGTTACATTAAAAACCAACCATACACAAGTATTTATACATCGATCCTGCAGAAATGCATCAAAGGTATGTGCTGGTAGTACAAGGCCACAAAACCTGATGAGCCAACCTTTGATAACAAAGGAAAATAAGAGTGTCATCTTCCAGTAACACATATGCTGCTGCTCCAGCTCCTTCAGCAAATATTACTCCAGACTTAGTAACTCAAGATGGGTTAATTGCCCACAGAGATTGAAGAGCTGTGGCTTGCATTTTTTCAGATTCAACTTGAATTTGGTGTTGGGTTTGTGACACCAATAGCATAGTTCCAATACTATCTGCCTTATATAAGTCACATGAAACCATCAAAAATACCTGAAATACAAGAACTCAAGAACATGATATTAACAGAGGATATAGAACAAGGGGAAAAGTCAGAGTACAGGACCATACTTCATCATCAAGGGTTATTGTGCATGATCACATTAATGGGTCACAGTGCCGCTATGCAATCCATTGGTGTAAACAATCCCATTTCCTCTGTGGCTAATGTTTTGGGAGAGACATTACCTGGAAGAATTTCAATCCTCACAATGTTTTGTACTGGAGGTGTACAGTCACACTATTTTGGCATGTGATTCTTTCTGGTTCTTGCAATGCTCTAACTACAGCTTGAATTCATTTTTTTCATTAGGATATAATGTATAGTGAAGTCTTGTAATGCCTTGGATCAAAATCCTACAGTTTTACTTTTCAGCCCAGTCATCTGTCACAGTTGCCACAAGACTATAGCATCTAGAATTGTTACTTCAAATTGTCCTGGTTTAGGGCAAATTTAGGAGGAAACCTCTGAATGGGGTTCCTCTAGGAAACAGATTCAAGCAGTCCCTCCCCCAACTGGTTCGGGGAAAAATATTTCCTCAGAGAGAAGTGGAAAAAAAACCTGTTTATTTAACAGGCAAAGCACTTCCCAGCACAAAAAATGAACAATACTAAACAGCAAAACCTGTTGCTGCTCCAAAGAGATGACAGTCAGAAGAGTCCCTTCCGTGGGTTGCAGCCCAGCTGACTCAGTTGTTATCAGTTCCTCCGGTGCTGGGAAAGGCCTCGGCCCAGGCTAGGCCTGGTGGGCCACAGGTGTGAGCTCCTGGTGCTCCCCTAGGTTCTCAGTCCAGAGCAGGTTCAAACAATTCCAAGAAAAAGGAGGAAAAAACACAGTCCAGGGAACTTCTTTGCCTCAATTGGTTAGAAAAACTAACCAAAAAGCAAAAGAGAGATCTCTCCCGCTGCCCACTGCAGACAACCCAGTCTGTGAGAAGGAATGTGGGGGAGCCAGTGCAGTCTCTGATAACAAACTCTGCACTTCTTCTCTGCCCCCTTCACTCCTGGAACCAGTCTTAAAGCTGCAGAATTCAATATTCAACACCAACAGAACAGACGATTTGGGGATACAAGCATCATAAAGTCACCCCAGGACACAAATTCAAATGGATTTCCTTGCCTGGGAATGTATAATTCGGCATGCTCAATCAAAGCATTTTGGCAGGCATCAGAGGCTTCTTGTTCTTGCTTGATCCATTGCCAAACAACTTTCTTCACAGTCCATTTCTGCTGCTTTGACATTTCCCAGGTAGTGCTTTGCAGTGAGGGGGCAGGTGGGGTAGAGAGAGAATAATTTTTTTGCATAGGCACTAACTTTTGCCAACAACAAAATGTTTCTAATGTTATGTCCCATTTATCACTAGCACTTATGAGTGCTGGTGCAATTAAGGGTTTCAGTGAAACAGGCACCTCTCTCAAAACAACAGCAATTTTGCAGTATCTGCATATGCTGTAGAACTGTTGCACACAGCCATTGATACAGTGTAGGTGCAGCAACATCCTACCCATTGGGACCCCTGGTATTTTGTAATTGAGTATATTCCCCATGTTACTACCAGCCTCAGAAAGCCAGGCAATCCAGGTTCTTGCTAATAGATCCCTCAGGGCAGATTAGAGTGAAATGACACCAAATGATGAGTGTTTGTAAATGTATGTATATATATATGTAGGGTATATTTTAGAACAATTTGGTTGCAAAGGAAAAGAGGTATGTAGCCATTTTGGTTGTTCTTATCTATAGCAATATAGCAATATAAAAGTATAAACATTAACACTTAAGAGTATAAGGAAAAGAAAGAAAAAGAAAGGATAAATGTAGAAAGATACATAGTCACCACCCTTGGATCCAGTAATGAGACTTTGTTGTTTCAATTTCGATGTCCATTGGTCAACGTGAAGGTCACAGTCCTGTTGAAGTGATGATCTTAGTCCATAGGGGGTGGAGGAAGTCCATGAAGCTCAACTATTTCATGAGTTAAATATGCTCAGGTGAGAACACCTTGTTACTCCCCTGGGGCAGGGAGTTTTATACTGGATGATGTAATACTGTGAGGCATGAGATACTTTTGGAGTCTTTGATGGTCTAAGTCCTTACAGCTGCCTATTGTCAGTGCAGTTGAGTTCATTATGGCCTATTACGGCCCATCAGCAGAGATGAATAAGGCTACATGTGAATGTCCCAGTGCTTCCCCAGCAAGGGTGTTATCACAGCTGAGTTCAATTGAGTAAGGAGGAAGAGACAATACCCGCCTTTACAGGTTTAGCCTCTTTCCTTATCTCCTTCAACACCAAGCTGTAGGCTGATGCAGGAGGTGTGCAAGCCCTCTGCACCTGGGTGGTTACTTTGCACATTGACAGCATGGCCCCTGATTGTTTGGACCATTCCAGTCTCTCTTCCAGCATCACTATCATTCTTCTCCCCAGACCTGGGATGATTGGATAATAGTATCTCCTTTATCTTACCTCAAGTTCTCATCACAGTCCAAATTCCAGTTAGTAGGCATATTTGGGGAGAGATGGGCTTTGGTGGTTAGAGATGCACAGCTGCTTCTCCTGCAGTTGGCTATAGTAGGCAAAAGTCCTCTGATTATTTTAGCAATGTTTAGGCCATTAACCATTTCAGTCTCTCACCTCCTCACAATGTATCTGAACCTCACTGTCTATAGGGTTTAATAGATATTTTTCACACATTAATAAGTGGATAGATGCAGCACCACTATCCCAAGCTTGCAAAATCCATGCCAGTATGCCTTCCACCTCCCCTGCCGATGGATCTCTAAAAATTCAACTAACTCTTTTGGAGTCAACTCTGTTGACCACATTTTAAAGAGATGAGACACACTCTTTTCATGGAGCAAAAGAAGTTACAGGTTTATTTCCCACATCCCTTTATATAGTTTTACAAACATTGTGTCTATTCCCAATTGGTCAGTAACAAGCTGTTACCCCACACTGCTTAGCCCATCCACCCGAGGTGTGTATGGGAGCGAGTTTGTTTTGAGATATTGCTTTCATTCTTCTACTTGACAGATGGCAATAGTTGACACAGGTGCAGACTGTCTCCATCCTAAGATTCTTTCTCAGGGAAACAAGCTGTTTTTCACTGTTGCAGGGTTCTACTCTTCTAAGAGGCTGGTAGCTTTCTCACAGCTATATCGGATAAAGTCAGAATTCAGTCTGTGAGGCTTCTACAGGCCTGCTGTTTGCCACCACATATAAGTGCATGTGACCTGCACCTCTCCATCTGGCATGTTCCTCTGCCCCTCCACTTGTATGAGCAATCATGCTTCTGACACCTCCTTATCTACTAAAACTGGCTCAAACTCAATCTTGGAATCCAAGGACTCACTCCAGATCTTTACATCCCATTCCTCAGGATCCCATGAAGATTTCATAGTGAGAGCACAAACTTGGGAAATTGAAACCTTACTTTTCCCATATCTGTGTCTTGGTTTGTTAGCAACACATGCCATCGGCCATTCTACAGTGCATTGCTGCTCATAGCACTGCTCTGTTTGAGTGTCAATTACTTATTGAACAATCATCTTTGCATCTTATAAAGTCCTGACTTACTTTTCATAGTCTCTCACCTTGTTCTGCAGTGCTGTAACTTCATAGGCAAGACCTCTAAGGCCGGTAGCTAATAGCCATTCCAATCTCCCCACTAGTTTGTGAGGAGACATTGATGCCTCTTTTCAAGGCAATCTGTGCACAGCTGTCTCAATCACAGAATCACAGAACAGTCTGAGTTGGAATGAACCCAGAAGGACCATCAAGTCCAACTCTTAAGAGAACAGCCCATAAGGGGATTGAACCCACAACCTTGGCGTTACTAGCATCGTGCTCTAACCAACTAAGCTAATCATCTAGGGGGTAACCATTGCCCCATCATCTTTTTCAGACCATGCTGATATTGGAGCTGTTGTAGCTAGGAAAGTAGGCAAGGGGGCCCAGCACTCAGTACTGGGCCATCCCAGAATATGGGGAGTCACCATCACAGCCTTCCCAATCTCTGACCTTTTTGCTAGCCATGGAGTGATTATTTCCAGATCCTGCCGACTACATCAAATATGAGCTGACACAGGCAGGCAGCTGGAACAACTATAAACCTGTAGCCAGAATACAAAGAGTAAATTTATTTCTATTACTTCACTATCAGGCGATCCCCACAGTAACCTCCAGGCAGAGGTATACAAGCAGAGACACCATTAAATTTGGTCCATGCCACAGGATTGGTGGGTGCTGTTTGTTGTTGATGCTCACTCCTCACATGCAGCACCAATTGATAGTGGACTCACAACTGACATAAGTATCAGTCCCTTATTATCCTACAGTAAAACTTTCATACCCTCTCTGTAAATTCCCCATGGGCAGCTCCACACAGCACTGACTCCTCTTTCTTCTTCTCCAACTAGCCAACTCCTTCCTATTCCTCACACAACATCCTAAGCCTTCCTCCTCACAGCACAGCCAGCAAATACTGACTAACTTTAACTGGCTAAATCACTCTTTTATAACACCCATCCTTATTGGCCATAGATGCAACCTATTAAGGGCAAGGCTGCTTCCACTCTTTGGTAATTAGCACGGCTGTAACTCATCAGAGGCGAGGTTGCCTTCAGCACTATCTTTATTCTCTTACAATCTGTTCTTCCACAACTCCCCCTTTCTATTTTAATTACAAAGTTAACCTTCCAGTCTTAACCTCTTTAATGAGCTCATCTGCAGTAGTGAACACCAGGTCCAGTAATATGACATCTGCTCAGCAATAAAAGGTAAGCAAAAAAGGAGGGGGGAGGGCACTGGTTATTGATGGTATTCTACTTCCAGAACAACCCCTATGCTAAAGCCCTGCTTCCCAGGAAGTGGCCAGACATTGCTTGCTGATGGGAAGCAGAGAATAAATATTTTGGGTTTTTTTGCTTCCACACACAGCCTTTTTCTTTTGCTTTAATAAACTGCCTTTATCTTGACACGAGTAATTTTCCATCTTATTTTCTTCCCCTCTCCCCATTCTGTTGAGGATGGGAGTGATAGAGCAGCTTGGTGGGCACGTGGTGTCTGGTGAAGGTTAACCCACTACAAGTGTCATCTGCATTTCTCCAGTGTTTTAAGATTTGTAGTATCTGTTAGGAGCAAACTAGAAGATTACAGGCTTGGCTTTGGTTGACTTAATGAAATTTTGGAAACTTTTGAGGCTCTTTCAAAGTATGCTTTTTCAAGTGGCAGTTGCTGCACAGATCCTTGTAATCAACATGTTATTATAATACAAACTGAAATTAAAAATAATATGAAAAAAAGATTCACAGGTTTTGACATACTTGCTGCTACCTGGCTATAATTACATGGTTATTTTAATAAGAGTTTATTACAACTTTATTAGCTGCAAAATTGATAATGTAAAAGTACAGTATCTGGCTTTTCATGCTGATAACTGCACACACTAAAAATAATTTCTCTGTTCAGAAATAACCTCTGTGGGTAAATCTGTACTAATATATTTTCTTTTCCATATGTTGATGTGTCAACAAATAGCAATTACAGGAAAGTGACAAAGCAGCATTTTATAAGGAAATTTGTGCAGGTTGGGTTTTTTCTTTGCTGACTACTCTCTTCCTTGTTTTGGCATAAGGCAAAGCCATAACTTTCACATCAACAGGTAGAAACATGAAGAAAACTTTAAATTAACTTGCATGTTTAAGGATTTGTTGTCTGAATTTTTTTCCTGCCTTCAAAATAACAGCGGGTTTTGTACTAGCAAGTTACAATTTTATTTACTATGAACTAGTGCCTAGAAACATCTAGGCAGTGGTTTTGCTGCTACAGATTACTCAGTATCACTCTGTTACAATCTAGTTTATTTTTAGGTGAGCAGTGTCTGTTTAAGATACCATGGAGCATCTGAGTTTGAGTCTTGCCCTAGCTGGGAATTGTTACATTTTGTATATTTGAGCTCTAATGGATGCTGAGTCTGAAATGTTTTTGACTGTGAAAGAGCATAGAGCTGGTTCTTTTTGACTGAAAGGTTTGGACAATTAAGTTTTTGTCGCAATAGAGTCAGACAGGACACTTCTTTCTTCATGCAGAATAGCCGAATCTTTATTGCACACAGCTCATTTTAATATGGTATCAGAAGGCACCATGTTTGAATCTAATAGGTCAGCAAATCATTGAAACAGTTGATTGGTTGGTAATGCCTAGTGTACATGTCCATCAAACTTTTTTCTTTCTAGATATGTTTACATTTTTTCTTCATGGACTCTCACAGGATAGACCTTATTTTTGCAGATGTAAACTGTTTTCTCACAAGAATAGATTATTATGCAAACTTATTCTCATTCTTATAATTCTTTTGTCATGGGAACTTAACAGGCTAGCTTAGCCAGAATAGCAAGGCCTGAACCATGTTTTACAAGGCCTTTTCTATTGTAAGGTTTTACCTATATATAACAAGTTTTTACTGTGAATGTAGCTTGTTTGCCATAAATAAAAATTTCCCATTTGAATGGAGCATTGCAAAACAATCCCCTGGGAATTCTGGGTGATTCTTTTTGTGGGGCAAGAACACTTCCCAGGGAGGTGCATACACTACACTTGGGCTCTTCCCACTGCCCCACCTCTTTGAAGTAACTTAGTTGGCATGGCACTGTATTTGCCAGCTGCTGTTTGAAGGCTGATGGAGCTGAGTTGGTTGTGCTATTGTTTGGGAATTGCTGCCTAAAATTAGAGTCGTTTTTACTAGCAATACTTGCACATGACAGAAAATGTTATCTGCAGGTGTTTTCAAGCCTCCATCTACTGGGAGGAGGAAATTATTGCAACACTGCCAAACATATTTTGGAGAGGTGGAAAAGCAAATGACTGTGTATGAAGTTTTGCTCAAACTGTACCTGTTTGGAATAATTTGACTTCAACATGATTGTTTTTTAAGCTTGTAAGGTTTTAATTGAAATTAGTTTTTTAGTTTAGATGGTGCTTGTTGTGAAGGGCTGACAAAAACCACAAGTGCTTTCAGAGGTGGGGAGGGGAAGGCCTAATGTTGAGAGAATTTGGTACTTGGTCCCAAATACTTATGGTCATTTAGTTTAAAAGAATGTAGGCTTTATTTATTTTAAAACCCCCAGTACTTACAAATAATTATATTTGTCTTATGAGTAGAGATGTAGTTTATTGAAACCAAGATTATCAGCAGTATTGTGTTAATGATTGAAAGTCAGAGCAAAGCATGCTTGAAAGCTATTTCTGTTAGTGGGGATTTCATTGTGAATACTGGAGTTTATCTATGTGGAGGGGAAAAAGTTGCATATGATATGCCAAAAAGGTATTTCTCCAGTCATTAAACGGTGTTTTTGTTTGACACCATTTCATCTACCTGCTTAATTTGTGAGGTTTAATTAGGATATAGTCAGCTCGTGATCACATGGACAGAAATAGTGTGGCCAGCAGGACTAGGGAAGTGATTGTTTCCCCTGTACTGGGCACTGGTGAAGCCTTGAATTCTGGGTTCAGCTTTGGCCCCTTGCTATAATACAGACATTGAGGTGCTGGAGTGTGTCCATAGAAGGGCACTGGAGCTTGGGAAGGGTCTGGAGCACAAGTCTGATCAGGAGCAGATGAAGTAGCTTGTCACATTGCATATTGCAGCTGGTTTAAAGCTGCAGGCTGAAACCCAACCAGCCTGTAAACAGGCAGGTACCTGGGTGAGTAATAATAGGATGTATTTGAACAAATACAGAGAATCCCAGCCAATCTATTGGACCCTAAGTGCAGATGTATCATTGGCCAAGGAAATGAGTGACTGAGATTGTAACCAATCATGTGTGTGTCAGGGAAACTCAAACTCTCTATATAAAGAGAGTTCACAAGAATAAAGTGCTTAGTCTTTCATCACATGAATCACGATTGCCGCGTCTCTGTCTCGGACACAGCACCAGTCAACGTTACATCTGGTGACCACAGACGTGATCCAACTTAGCCATACCCTGCACACAAAAGCAGGGGAGACAAAACACGGCCAAGAGCCGGGAAACATTCACGTCCAAAGAGATGGGTAACCAGCGACTGAGAGTTGCGGGGAAACGGCGGGTAGAGCCAATGCGGCCCAGAGCTGTGCAGACAGCTGGAAAGACAGCAGAAACCGAAGACATGGGAGGAAATGTCTCCACAGAAGAACACCCAGTTGTCCAGGTATGGACTGAGTTTGTAAATGAATGGGACGTGGAGTATGAGGAAAAATCACTTTTAGATTTAATATCATGGACAAAAAGCCAAGGTGTAGAACCAACTAAAGAGACTGCATTAGATATGAATAGTTGGACTAGAATTGGGGAACAAATAATAGATGCTGCTTTCAAAGATGATCAAAATGTGATCAAAGTTTTAAATCCTTGGAGGCTCATCTTAAAATTGATAAAACAGCTAAAAGCCAATTTGTCTAGTGATAAGGAAGGACTTCGTAATCCCTCTGTATACACCAAAACCAGCGGGTGGCAGTGCCGAAAAAGACAAAGCACCTGGAGGGGGGGGCAACTACCTCATCTACAGCGAGTGCAGACTCAACAAGCAGCCAACCCACAGCCGCCAGAGAAACAGCTGTTCCAGTCTGCAGTGCTAGCTCAGAGCGCCCCGCGCCATCCCAAGCCGCTGTGGGGGGGCCCAGGGAGAAACCCCAAGATGGCAGCGACGGCATGACCAACGGTGGGGAAGAAGCCCAGCCTCCTTTGAGGGCGTAGCTCCGGCCCCGGTCCAGCCCTGGTGGAGCGTACCTCCCGCTCCGGCCCAGCCTCCGTGGGATGGGACCCCGACCCCAGTCCAGCCTTTGGAGGGCGTGCCTTCACCACCAATCCAGCCTCTGGAGGGTGTGTCTTC